TATTGTTTTTATTAACCCTCAAATATTTTTCGCAACACTCGCAGACTTTTAAACCAATCACCATCGAGGAAATTGTAATTTTTATGATTATTGTTGTTATCGTAAAGCTAAGAGATTGTCAAGATACAAACCAAGATGTTACGAGCGCTCTGATTTCCCGGGTTTCTTTAATCATTTTGGTTCAGCCTCTACGTACGCTGATTTTACTCAATCGTTTCTCGGGATTCAACGAGCTAAGAAAAGACCTCCTTTAATAAACAAATTTACCAGTAAACTAAACTTGCCTGTGTTACCTCGTTGAGTTATTTAAGAGCACGTAGGGATATTTCAAAAACAATCGAGAAATGCAATACGGAAACACTCGACGGTGTCTATACTTCTGTACACTGTAATGCAATTAAAATTCTGCTTGCTTTGAATTACTCAACAATCCATTGGAGAACAAAATCTGTTGATTAAGACAAATTACAACGGAACTAAAGCTATCTTCCATACATTAAATTTCCCTGCACTATCGGCGGAAACTGATGAGGCCCTGTTAGGGGGGGCTTAGTCATTCCTTATCCCTAAAATTCCGGGGGCAGTTATCCCTTATCCCTAAAATTTCCGAGACTGTTGTCCCCAAAATTACTTATCTTTGGAATTTGAAAATAGGTGGCAATTTTAAAGTGTAAAGCGGCCCTTTTCTTAATAGAAAAACACTGCATTATTATACGAAAACTCTACAGTTTTATATGACGTTACCTTGAAATATTCTCCTCTCTGTAACTAACTGCTTACATACCTCAGAGTCCTGGGGGTAGACACTTATAAGTCGCTTGGTTCGGCGGGATTCGCAGAACACAGAGTTAACCTCCTCCTCGTAGTCGCAAGAGTCACATTGCAAGCACTAGTCATAAGTTTAATTATGATTTATGATTCAGCCCGCCGCACTTGGAAAGTGATTAACAATTTTCTTTTAGCGGTTTTCAAGGAAGAGTCAAAAAATAATTCTCGTTTGGTTTGTAAGTACCATAATTCACCTTGCAGTTGAATGCCAAAAACAAACTACATACATGTATATTTGCTTGGAGAACCTGCGGGGTTCTCAACAGCATATATGTTCTCGTCGAGTCTGGCCAGATAGAAAGGTAATGGCCTTACCGGAAGTTGACTACCCTTCCTTCCACAAACTATGGTACCTTAGCAAATTAATACCTCTGCAGCTGGTGCCCTGGATTGGTCTAAAGAAATCTTTTCTTCTGTCTGTGCAACTCTTGCAAAATCAGCCAGCTTTGGATCGCCCACTTTGGATTCATAACAGTTCACAGGCAACGTTCCAGCAGAGTCTTATTTGAGACTTGAGACGATGCAAGACCGGATAAACAGAAATGGTGACTGGTCAACGACTTCCTGATTTCATATTTCTGAACAACTCCCTAGATCTGCCTAAATCTCCTTTTCCATGTGAAATTGCTGAACAAAATTCGTTTCAAAATTTATGTATTAGCTCATGCTTGCCCTGAAGTAGAGGCAGAGCAATCTAAAATTGTTCATCGGTATCGATTGAAGATATTCTTCCACGTGGGAATTCCGGATCTTGCGTTAACTGCTTGTAATGACACTTCAGTTTGTATTTCAAAACACCTATTTCCTTGGCTCTTTGGTTAATCCCAGACAACTTGAGATTTCGAAGGATTGCTGCTAAATCTTCCGCCTCTATTTTTGTCAAAAACAACCATTTCATGGCCGGTTCCTCATCCCCTTGTTTAAAAATGCAACCCGTAACTTCATGCAGTACTTTCGGGGAAGCCATATTGATCACAATGAGTCTGTTAATAACAAAGCCAAGCACGCATGTGATGCCCGTGTTACACGCGCGCCATGAGGTCAGCGGTTGACCGAATAAATGAGCCTGGGAGCAAATCTTGGACATCTGACCCATCTTACCTAAATTTGCACTGGCAAATGACCCGTTACTGTTCGTTACCGGTCGCGGGTGATGCAAATCTTCGGCAAAAGTGACCAAACGTGTGACAATTGAGAAATCAAAGCTATTTTCTGTTATCCCTAAAACCATCTCAATTATCCCTTATCCCTATAAGTATTTAGTCAGTTATTCCTTATCCCTAAAATTATTTTGCCAGTTATCCCTTATCCTTAAAACCCCTAACAGGGCCTCACTGATTCTCAGATCCACATTTTGTCCAAGTAGAACATGCAACCACATCCCACAGGAAATATCAACACGTTATAGTAAGTGTCAATAGTAAAATAGTAGACTGATTACGTAAGCAACGCTTTTAAAAGCAACGACGACCAACAGTGATAACATTCGACAAAATGGGACTAGTTGATTTCAATTTCTCTTCCTGCCGAGTGGGATAAATCGTCTTCAAACGTTCAAATAGACTGGAACAGTTGTTTTAAGTGAAAAATTTGCTCATTTACAGATTTAGATTTGGGTTAATGAAAAGTATATACTATTAAGTTTTGACTCCTTCCCTAATTCAATTATATGCCATCATCCCAGTTAAAACTATGTTTAAACGTTCATGGTTGAACTGACTGTCATTACTTGTTACTACGTACCGTGCCTGCGCGCAAATATAAAACCGCCACTGATTTACGATGTCTAATGGAGACCTAGCACTGTCAACTTTATCAGTTTTAGCAACACTAATAACAAAGCCTTTGATACTTTTCCTTTTTCTTTTGACAATGCCGCTGATGGGTGACTTGTAACCTGACAAACAGATCAATGGACATTTCCATCACTATAACATATGACCATGAAGAGGAGATACATTTTTACCAGAACATTTCGATATTAAAATAGTAGACTCATTAGGTAACGTAGAAGAGTCCGTTGCAATCGTTTTTAGCATTTAATGTACATTGACTGAGGTACTGGTGAGTAACTAAATTGGCTAGATGAATTTATCAAACGTTAGCTTTCTTCGCTGTACCTGTGTAGTACTTACAATTTTGTAATCGTATAAAGAAAGTGACTATTAAACAACCATTGCCATGGTCTAAAATGAAATTTTAGTTACGGTTATTAACCAATATTAAAGAGATATCGTTTTAGAATTTTATATATATATATGTAAAGCTAACAGGCTTGCACGGAAGATATTAATAGTCTTTTTTCCATCATGATCAATTCCCATCAAAAGCAGTTTTCATCAAACGTTGCTGTGACGAAATTAATAATAGTAGATGACAGTTGTTCGTATATTTGCTTGAATTTATATTGCAAATGTCTATCGGACTAACTAGTTGTTTAAAAAAAGCCAACAAATTGATTCTTAGCCACAATGTGAAGGCGATCATAAAGTGTTTTTGGAAATTGAAGTAAATTTAACTTACATCAAGAAACGTGGATGAAAAAAAATCGATGATCCTCCGAATAACCGTGACCATGCTTTGCATTTAAAAGGGACCTTCGTTGTTCATTACTAGTACGTAAATCTACTTTTTTCAAAAATGTTTTCCTTCTTATCTTTCCTAAAAAATACAGTGTGATAAGATGGAAAATTTTGAAACTATTTTTGTTTTTAAATTATTGACGTTCCGACGTTTGCTAAACGTCAACTGATGCTAAAAGATATATAATACATAAATTAAATATTAGCACGCAAAGAGACAAGAAAAAAGCTTAGCACGAATTGAGCCGACAGGTTTGTTATTTTCACTCTGTAAGCAAGCTGTAAGTATGTAAATATGTATGATCCACGATATAACCATTGCTTTCAAGCAAGAGACGACAAGTCCATTTTCTTCAACGTAATATTTCTAATGGAGACGACGCTTAATTCGATAGGAAGAGCATGGAATATAAAAATAGTTTGTGGTTTTTAAGCCGATCAGATGTAGACTGACTGAGAGATTCATGTGAAACATAGACGAAATCCGATAGAAAATCGAGCAATTTCAGTTTTTAATGGACAAAAACCTTGTAGCAGTATATTACAGTCCTTTTTGCATTTCCTTAAAGCTAAAGACATAAACAGTTGCCTGAAATAACACCAACAGCAATTCCCCATGGGAAGACGAGAAAATAAATTTTAAAGTTCAGAGAAATTGTGCAAACGCAGGTAAAATTTCATCATCAGTTTCATTTCACCAGTACTTTCAAATGTTTCATATGAACTTCAAAATTTGTTTTCGACCGATTTGGTGTTGTTAGAAATGATTTCTTTTGAGAAGAAATTTAAAACAGTCGCACGGAAGTTTGCAATACTATGTAAATAACCTCGGTACAAAGTTTTTTTCCGCCTTGTGGTAGATTATATTCCTTCTTAATATCATTAAATTCATACATAAGTCTGCAAACAACATATAACATGATTTAGATGCGGTTAAGCTTGAAAATATGTTAAGACGGAATCTGCCAGAAGTTCGAGTAACAAGTGGACAAAAACCTCGTACCCAGATTATTTACATCATATTGCAAACTTCTATACAACTGTTTTAAATATCTTCTCCAAAAAAATCATTTCTAGCAACACCAAAGTAGAAAACAGATGTTAAACTTCGTATGAAGCACTTGAAAGTACTATTGAAATGAAACTGGTGGCGAAATTTGGGTTTGCAAAATTTCCCGAACTGAACTTTGAAACTTATTTTCTCTCGTTTCCATGGGAAATTGTTTTTGGTGTTATTTCAGGCAACTATCTGTATCTTGAGCTTGAAAAAAATGTAAAAATTACTGTAAAATACTTAAAATTATTCTGGTAGTAGATTTTTGTCCACTAAACACTGATTTTGCTCGATTTTCTATCGGATTTCACCTTAAAAACTATTCTAGCAGTTGATATTCGCGTTCTTTCACGCGTTCTGAATTTCAATTTCGGTGAAAAAGTGAATTGCCGGAACTTACCACTTACTCAGAATTTTTTTTCAGTTTTTCAAAAACATGAACTCGGATCCTTGTACTTTCTCAGTTCAAAATTTCTGAAAAATAATGCCGGAACCTATAACGTATTTAAGAGTTTTTTAAAAATACAAACTATTCAAGATGCTGAATTTCATGGGCTTACGCATTTTCTCAATTCAGCTCAGAGTACGGCTAGTTTTGCGAAAAATTAAATAATTACAATTACCGGAACCGATTACTGATTAGAAAACTACTCAAGAGGCTGCCCTTTACATTCTTTTGTTCATTTAATTAAGAGTTAATTTATACAGAATTTCGCCGGAATCGATCTCTGATGCTCAATGTTGAACAAAAACCCGAAAAGTTGGATCATCTGCTCATTAAAATCGCCATACGTCTTAGAGACAGCTGAATAGTCCGTTTTGCGAAGCTTGGTCGTAATGGAAGACTTCTTGAACGTTTTAGGTTGGTTATTTTCAATCGTAACGGTAGTAGGAAATAGTTTTGTAGTCCTACTTATTGCGAAAAATCACCGGCTACATTCCTCAGCCAACTTGTTCGTCCTTTCCTTGGCAGTGGCTGACTTTGGTGTCGGAATCGCCGTTTTTCCATCGAGTTATTTTTGTAATTACTCAATGGCGTGTAACTTGAGGGTTTACATGGCATTCTTCTGGTTCTTCCTCCACTCTTCAGTCACAAATCTTTGCTCCTTGACTTGGGATCGTTACATCGCCATCGTTCACCCTTTCAAGTACAACACCTCCATGACTGAGAGACGCCCTGGAATGATTATCTTGGCCGCTTGGTTGATTCCCTTCGCGATCTCTCTGTTGCTTTTGGTGGGAATGCACGCCACAAAATCTCACACTGTGTTGAAATTTTTACGAATAGACGGGGTGTCAGCCTTTGACTTAATATCCTGTGCGCTGCTCTTCTGCGGTGTTGTTCGAATCCTAGTTGTTGCGCGTGCGCAGTCACGGCAAGTGTCTGCAATAGAACTTCAAGTTCAGCGGTCTACTAGTAGCCACGCATGCAACCAATCTACTGCGACAGAACCTGCCACTTCACGCAGACGTAAGAAGCACAATACAGCTTCCTTCGTAATTGCTATGGTCATGTTCTTCCTGGGATGCTACGTGGTGGTAAATTACTTAGTTTTGTGCCTTGCTTTCTCTTGTCATCAAGTGTCTGATGACACTGCCCAGGTTGTTATTTGTCTCTTAGTTTTGAACTCTACAGTGAATCCTTTGGTTTACGCGCTACTGAAGAACGATATTAAGATGGAAATAAGCAAGCTTATTTGGGGGAGCAACAACCTTCTGGAGAGGTCCTTTATACGGGAACTAAAATTTCCATTCTCGTTATTTTACTGTCATGTTTCCACTTATATGCCCATTACTTTCGTTGTATTTTTCACTTATTTTACTCCAAAGGTCCTGTCTGATTTTCGATCAAGATAATTGATACTCGGAGCATTTCGCAGTGAAAACTCCTGCCATCGGTAGACTGGTAGAAAAATTTGCTTATATTTTTAAGGTTTTATTGTCCAGCATTTTCGGGTGTACCAAGATAAGACACTACGGGGAGAGCCCATTGTAAATTCTGATATTCTCGGAAGATTAAGAACTCTAGGCTAGAACTTAAGTCTTGTTTCAGTTGTCAAAAAACTACTAAGGAAGGAGTTGGTTTATTCCGAGTTCCAGCATGCAATAATGTGGACCAGCTCCACAAGTGTAACAACTATGGTCAATTGCTTCTCTCTAGACACTACCATGATACCTTAGATTTTAGTGAGCTTTCCGTTTTAAGCATAATGATATCGATCGTACCATGTTTTGACTAAATAACAGAAATTGGAAACTTTACGGGAGACTTCTACCTCATAAAAACGTTCCTTTAAGTGCTTACATTTTCGCTCATTTACGGTTTACTTCTTAAATAAATTCATCGTTTGCGTCAATTTTCTCGATACCTGTCGCCTAGCGACTTGAGAGCCATTCATTTCCAAGTTATTTTGCCCTCTACATAAAGGAAAATTAAGACAAACTGCCCTCCGTCTCAACCAATGAAAAATCAGTATTTTTGCCCCCTATGTTGTACGTGATATAAACCTTAAATACCTTCATCAAAATTATCAGTTCTCGTTGGCTTTCTAAGCACGTATTTATCACGTTATTTGTGTACGATGACGTATCTCGTAGGTGTTTGCAGTGTCACGCCATCAAAAAGAAAAATCGTAACCATTAAATGAATTAAGTCAAGAAGCTGGTATATGAAAGATGATTGATATATAGACAACCTAGCCAAGAATTAGGTCTATGCGGATTTTCATTCGCGCGTTATTCGGAAAAGTGTTTCAATCAAATTTATATAGCTTTGTACGGAGTCGCCATGTTTGTGCCCCTCGGAGGGACAAACACGGCGGCCATAACTTAACGGAAACATCTGCCAGCACGAGGCTCTGGGGAATAAACCCAACAAACTCTGCAGTTATTCCCTAGAGCCTGGCACTGAGGTCTATAGTTTTAGGCTGAATTTTAAGATATCGAAATTAGCCTATTACGCGTATCCAACAACTTTTTGTAATTTGATACCTGTACGACTTCTACGCCATTCGTACACAATTACGTGCCTTTTATAGCTTTCTTGTTAATTTTTCTCTACTGTTTGTTACCTTAATTTAACATGGGAAAATTCAACTAACAATAATTATCGCTGCATGCGTTAATGTATATCGCTCTTTGTAAAAGCGCACTTTCAAATAACAATTGGTGACAAATAAATGTCATATTGACCAGATATTGCACTCTACTAGTTAACGAAATGATTTCGGAGCTGATGCCTTTTCCTAAAATTAACAACAGTTAAGACCGCGAGAAACTTCTCTCATCCGACATTTAATAACGTTTCAGAAACGACGATGTCAATATTTGCATTTAAAAGCAGTCGGTGAAATTAACATACCGGTTACGTGTTTTGAAGTACACCTGTCATGACAAAATTATCTCTCTGTCAGGTGCACCGTCAGAAAACATCGCGTACCACTTCCTCTGAAAAGTATGACCGCCACGTTTAGTTTTTCATTACCGGCCTCCTGCTCATTAAAATGTCCCTCGCTTGACAGCTAAAGCGAAATGGAAAACTGGTTCAACATTATCGGCTGGTTTCTCTCAGTCGTAACAGCAACCGGAAACGGCTTTGTAATCCTTCTTATCGCCAAAACTCGCCGCCTTCATTTCTCGGCCAACTGGTTGGTCCTTTCCTTGGCCGTGGCTGACTTTAGTGTCGGAATCGCTGTTTATCCATCAGGATATTTTTGTCATAACTCGACGGCTTGTAACACCAGGGTGTACATAGCATTCTTCTGGTTCTTCCTCCACTCTTCGGTATCAAATCTTTGCTCCTTGACTTGGGATCGTTACATCGCCATCGTTCATCCTTTCAAATATAATACCTCCATGACTAACAGACGCCCTAGAGTGGTTATCGTGATAGCATGGTTGATTCCCCTTGCGATTTCTCTGTCACTATGCGTTGGAATGTACGTCACCGACTCCAAGACTGCTTGGAAAGTTTTGCGATTAACGGGCGTGTCTGCTTTTGACATCGTATCCTGTGTGCTGCTCTTCTATGCTGTTGTTCGTATCCTAGTTGCAGCTCGTGCACAGTCACACCAAGCATGTGAAATAGAACTACAATTTCAGTCCAACTTTTCGTCCACGGAAGCCGGTACTTCCCGCAGACGACGAACTCCCAACACAGCTCGCTTCATAATTGCTTTAGCCGTTTTCTTTTTGGGATGCTACGTGATCGTAAATTTCTCAGTTTTATGCCATACTTTGTCTTGCCCAGTGTCAGGCAAAAAAGCTGGCCATGTCGTGACTTGTCTCCTAGTTCTTAACTCCACAGTGAATCCTATGGTTTACGCCCTTTTGAAAAGAGACATAAAGAGAGAAATAAGCTCGTTTATATCTCACATGTCGATTTCCTCTCGAAGCCTGGGAAGACCTTACCTCAAACCGACCGTCAACGGGCAAGGCCAAGTCAGCTGAACAGCGTCGGAGAGCCACGGCCGAAGCAAACGGGCAGCACGGAAAGCGAGAGCTGCTGACTCTTCTACCCAGCCACTATCGTCCCGATCACAATCTGCACAATCTGCACCAGACAGTTCTGCATGCATGCACCCACATCAGATTAATCAGCCACCTTCGTAAACATTCAACCAACCAGTGAATCAATGGTCATCATGGATGGACAAACGCCATATATACAGCCCGAGTAAAACCTTTCGTGAAAGATTCTTGATGTCGCAGTTAATCCTTTGGTTTACGGCGCGCTCTTAAAGAAAGACATTAAGAAAGAAATAGGAAAGAATCCTTGCCGACAACGCTTAAACACGAGCAATAACCATGTCACATTGCCCTTGCTCTTTGTTTATCTCACATTTCCAGCCAACGATTGCATTTAGATTAAAGACATAAGAAACAACGAAATTATTCTTAGCACAAATCGGAATTTACGAAGGTTTACGATTTTGTCCATCTACATCGATTCTCTCATTTTTTTTTTTTTTTTTTTTTTGTCTCCCGCTTTGAAAAATCCATACTGCAAATCCATACGCAATTCATATTCCTTTACTGTTAGAT